AGGTCAACAGATGAAATTCAAAATAAAATAAATTGAAATTAAATTTTTTTTTTGCATTTGTTTTATTTGTTTTGCACTTTTTTTTAATGAAAGTGCATCTTCTGGCTGATTTCCATTGTGTTTGGAGTCTTTTTATTCAGGCATGAATAGCATGCAAATATTAGAATAAATTTTAACAATACTGATGGTATTTATTTCTTTCAGAACTGAGCAGGGTGTCTTTTTTTACATTCAGAGAATTCTATATTGCAATTCTTCATGAATATCAAGCGAAGCTGAAATTTAAAGGTCCATTATTTTCTTATGTGAATGGCTGACCTTATGTTGGTTTTGGGGTGCATTTAGTTGGCTTAAACAGCATTGTACTGTAGTGTTGTATACTCTTGTTGTTGTTTAATGAATGTGTTTTATATCAACTGCTTTTGTTTCCCTTTGGAGCGCATACTGAGCTTCTGATACAGTGCCATGCTTAAATAAATGGTCCTAAAATTTAGTGTATTTTGGCATGTTATTTTAGAAGAACTGAATAAGCCTGTTTATAAATCAAATTATATTTTTCTCTAAGATAGATTTTCATCTCATCTTTAAAAGGAATCATAATTGGATTGTATTTATCAATTTTTAAGGCTGCTGCTGCTGAGTTTGATATCTACCACTCTTTTAATATACTTCTTTTCCAAGCTGTGATGCAAAGTAACACAACAACAATATCCAACCCACCTAATTGACTGTTGGGTTATATTTCTAGTGTCCTACGTTGGCACCAAAATACTTCTTTTAATATTTCCCCATTACTAGTTTGATTTCTAGTGTGGAAGTGGAAGAAATGAATATGTGTGTTACATGAACTTTACATTTTAAATCACGTTTGATGCTTAGCTTCCCCCTTGTTCCTTTATTTTGGAGTAGTATCACAGTGCTCATCAAAGATCTTTTAATGAAAATAAGGACAATTCATGATCAGAATCAACCTGATAATAGTCCGGTTTGACTGTATGAAAAATAACATTAATTAAAATGAACTTAGCACTGCTGGGTTAATTGCTTAAATGTAATCAAGGAGCATCTGTCAAAATAAAAATCCTGCTAGCCTACATAACAAATAGATTTTAATTATGATGTTTATGAAAATAAAGTGTCTTGTTACACATGCAGGCACATTGTGTATATACATAAACATAAAGCATCTTAAAAGCAATACTTGATTTTTTTTAACATTTTACCCTATTCTATAGGAATTTACAGAAGGGAAATCAAAATTCAGAAGCCAAGACAAAAATAACTAAAGAGGATACAAGATGAAATAGTCTACTAGTGGGCCCCCTTTTCTTTTTAATGATTTCAAACTTTTCCAATTTCATTTGTTCAGAAAAACGTGACAAACAGGATCAGTCATTCCAGGGTTATTTTCAGAGTTTTTAGGAGCTTTTTACTATCCCCATAGTAAAATCACCACCACCATCATTGGGGAATCAAGAGAAAAGTAGATAAAGATAAAAGTTGGCAATGGCTTAATAACTGGAACATTAAAAAGTTAATTAACATTAAAATTTAATTAACATTAAAAATTAAAAAGTGAATACTGAGATAATGTAATAAAAACATGAACAGAATATTGTACTGGCAGGAAAAATCATTACATGATCAACTTCTACAATAGATCGAGCGGAAAGTGGATAAAGATAAAACCTGGCAATTGTTTACAACTGGAACATTACAAAAGAAACTGAAGGCTTAATTGCTTTAGTTTTTGAAGAGCAAGGTATTCAAACTAAAGCAATCAGGCCAGAATTGGAAAAAAAACATTAATGATTCAAAGTGCAGGGTCCGTAAAGAAGGAAAAGTAGAAGATCCCACAAAACTGATCATAAGTAATAACATTAATACAGGTGCCAAAATGATTCATTAGAGCATCTTTAAAAATTGTCATGAACCAGTAATGTAAAATTGGTGGAAACATAGAGTTGAAAAAGTAGTTTAAAAAAAAAGCACGTTAACCTATTGTGGCATTTTTGAATACAGATTGATAAAAGTCTTGGCTCAAGTCATACCGGATATAACTCTTGTTGAAAAGAAGAAAGTGTGGAAAATGGAAGTGGCAACTTCATGAGACAGAATAGAAGACAAAGAATTGGAGATTACAAAGTTTTAGGATCTGAAAATTGAAATTGAAAGATGTTGACATAAACTGGTGATGGTGATCCTAATGGCTATTGGAACACTTAGCATTGTGCCAAAAAAATCTTAGAAAATGATGAGGCTTCTGTCCGTTGACTTTGACATAGTTTGATAAAGGGTTGCAGCTGCGCATAGCATAGGATAGAAACCTAAGCAAGAATGTACACCCCCCCCCAGTTTATACAGTTCTGGTTTGTAACACCTCCAGCTCACTTCCCATAACCATTCCCCCCTTCTCCCCCCGTTACTTATGACAGCCGAAAGATGCAAAGCAAAGGGAGAAAATCTTGCAGGCTGACACATCCAAAGTCAGAATTGAGTAGACAACACAGAAAGCAAGTGCTTTCCGCAAAGAAGCTGAGGAAACAATAGACCTCACCTGGTTAGCTTCTGGGGAAAATCACATAGATTGACTACAAGCAATAAGATGACAAAGTAGTAACAGTGGTGCATTGGGGTATCTGCAAGAAATACCATTTGTCCAGAAATAAGAAATAGTCAAGGTAACAGAAAATGAAAAATGCTGAGGGACTTTAGAATTTAGACATCTGCCATGCAACTTAACAATTGTTGACAAGTAGGACAAAAAAGACTGGTTGATGGAGTAGAGCAGGAGAGAAAGATTTGGAGAAAATCCCAAAATACAAAGATATGCAAATAGAACGATTGTGGCAAAAGAAAACCAAATATACTAATAGGTATCTGCTGCAACATCTGAACACTATCCGCTTTAACCAAATCATCAGGCAATTTGCAAAAGACAACTGTACTTAGATCAGCTTACCTCCTGCAACCATACCTTTAATATTATTAAATAACATTTGCCTATACCAGATCCTCAGGAAGGATTTGGTAAGTGGACAAAAATGCCAAATTCAGATTAAACATCTGGTTGAAGGTGTGAATAGCCTTAATAAAGGGTTTATTGTTATTAACCTTAATTATGAAGGGTTTGGGAGCTAAGTTGAACCCCTTTAGCTGGAAATATAACGTAAAATAAGGTGAGTGATCAATTGTAGAGATAACTGTTAGAGTTTCCACATTTGCTTACCTATGTATAGTAACAGATTGAAGAAGGTAGCATTAATATAGTTTTCTTTTATAATTTTTATAATTTTGTTTGCATTTGCCTCATGTTATTCCTAGGGGAGAAAGAGCACAGCTCTGGTACTTTTCTCAGAATGGAAGTGATTATACCATCTGGTTGGATGGATCTCTGTTGCTTTATCATGGACAAAGCTGATATTAAGTCCTTTATGATTTAGTATAATCAAGCTATGACTAGATACTTTCAACAGATTCATACTTCATGTTTAATTAAATTCTAAAGGCTGTAGGTTAGCTCACTGAGCATTTGATTAATAAATTATTTCTGATAGTCCCTTCTCTATGTGAAATTCCTGGGTGAGGCAGTGTCAACATCCAGCTTGAGTATCCAAATAACTCCTACACTCTATAGTATGGAAACCTGCAACTCTGAAGGCCTGAATGGCACAATGATTCAGAAAGATTGCTAAACTTTCCCTATTTTATAAGATATTCAGCTCCACTTGATTAATGACTACAGCCAATCACCAGTATTATATAATTTATTTTAAGTAGTAATGTCTGTTATGCTATTTTTGTTTCATTATTACTTTGCATATAAAATCACACAATTGGGGCCATTAACAAATGCAGTAAATATAAATAAAAAAACCATGTATCTTTCAAGTTATGTTTCAGAGCAATATACAGACTTCCCTTTTGACGTGGGGAAATATTGGAATATATATTTTATTATAGTCTAAAACAAAAAGTATTTTGCACTGTATTAAAGTACAGAATACTTAATCCATTCATAAGATATATATATAATATACCACTCTTAGAAAAAAATATTTCAATGATTATTTTAGAAAAAACATTTGTAAATATACCATTAAGCTATAGAAGTATTTCTATCAGTTTAAATCAAGGGTCTTCAAATGTGGCAAGTTTAAGACTTGTGGACTTCAACTCCCAGAATTCCTGAGCTAATGTGACCGGAGGAGGAATTCTGGGAGTTGAAGTCCACAAGTCTTAAAGCTGTCAAGTTTGAAGACCCCTGGTTTAAATGTTTAGATTCTCCATATTCTGACTTCTGACTACCCATAATTTTAATCATAGACTAGATTAAAACAACAAAATGGATAAAATGTATTATAAATACAAACCACCTTGTCTACCTATGGCCAAAAATTTAATCTGCACAAGAAGAGACAATTCCCAGTTCAGTTTTACAGGTAATCCTTGATTTATTATCACAATTGAGCCAACACTTCCACTGTTAAGCAAGATAGTACTTAAGTGAGTTCTACCCCATTTTACAACTTTTTGCCATAGTTGTTCAGCAAATCGCTGCACCTGTTGAGTGAATCATGCGGTCTTTAAATAAATCCAGCTTTCACCAGTGACCTTGCTTGTCAGAAACTGACTGGGAAGGTTCCAAATGGTTATCACATGATGGTGCAACCTGCCATGCCAGTTGCCAAGTGCCCAAATATTGATCATGTGGCCACGGGGATCCTACAATGGATTCTGGTGTGAAAACCAGTCATAAGTCACTCCCTCCCCCAGTGCCACTGTAATTACAAATGGTCACCAAACAAATGGTGATAACTTGAGGACTACCTGCATAGCATCTCGTATATAGCATCTGGTTGACAGAAAATACAAAAAATAGAGCTGTTTTTAGACATTCCTGGCCTGAAGGAGGAGTTGATAATTTTAAGGAAAAAATGTTTTATTATTTTCACCTTTCCGTGTTTATGTCCATACATCATTCTGTACATGATGTCCAACATTTGTTTCCACATTAACAGCCACAAAGAAGTTATTTGTGTGTTGTCTAGTTTGAAAGTTCTTATTTTTTAAGAAGTTGACTGGCAATACTTTGCTCTTTTGTTTGTAATGCCCGCACATCACTAAGATTATTCTCAGTATGTTAATTATCTTAAAACAATGGGCTCTAATTGCTACCAAGATGGCTGATAGATGATAATTGCAGCCTGAAAACAAACTTTTATTCTACACATGACAATGCTTTGTCCTGTTTAATTTTCCTAAAAGCATTTCCCCCTCACTCCAGAGTTCTTCAGATGTAATCTAAAATAAGCCAGCTGTCACTTCTAGCCTTATAGGCCTATTGCCTCAAAAACCAAGTCCACAATTTCAAAGCAATACGTCTGATCAGAATAAGGATTGTAACAAGGTGGGAATGAAATTCTTCCAGGACTTTGAAATCTTGTTTCCTGCTGTTGTAGTACAGACTTGCGGCTAACAGCATTACAACGCAAAAGGAAAGGCCCAGGAACAAAGGTAGGATCCCAACTGTCTGCTTGTGAGCTGGGAAACAAAGGAAACAGAGAAATGGATTAATGTTCTTTATATATTGAAATCCTTATCACATTAGAACCTTTTCGCACTTAGTAAAAATCTTGAAGAACTTGAGAAGGAGCATGGGTTCCTCTCAGCATTATAACTACGCCACCTTCGGTCTGACCTAAGCATAGTGCATAAAGTTATCCATTACAATGTCCTACCCATCAATGAATACTTCAGCTTCAATCTCAACAATACACAAGCACACAATACATACAAACTCAGGGTAAACCATACAAAACTCGATTGCAGGAAATACGACTTCAGCAACAGAGTGGTCAATGCCTGCAATACTCTACCTGACTCTGTGGTTTCTTCCACTAATCCCAAACATTTTAACTTCAGACTGTCTACCGTTGACCTCACCCCATTCCTAAGAGGTCTGTAAGGAGCATGCATAAGTGCACCAATGTGTCTACCATCCCTGTCTTAATGTTCCCTTTTATTCTTATCTATTTCATGTATTAATAATCATGTTTATATCAATATATATATGTTATCAAATGCATGCTTGACAAAATAAATAAAAAATATTGTTCTTCCAACTCAATAATTTTCACCATCTCCTGCTCCTGTTCTTTTTGGCTTTTTAAAAATTGCTGCTCAACAACCCATATTGCCTTCCATAGCACCCTGGGACCTGTTGTACTGTAATTACTACTGTCTTACTGTAATTCAGCCTGATAGACTGTAATCTTGCCTCAACAGCAATGCATTGCAGATTGAAGTACTGCATATGTGGGGCTGCTCTTAGGACAATTTGGAGCCCTACCAAATAATCTGTGGAATTGGCATTTGGATATTATGACTCCTATTCTCACCAATTGGTTTGATTACCTATTTGGTCCTGACTCCTTTAAGGAACCCCTTTGCCAAATGGTACTGTCCATGGGGTTTTCACAATGAGGTGGCTGGATAGAGTCACCGAAGCAATCAGTGTGAGCTTAAATGGACTCTGGGGGATGGTAGAAGACAGGAAGGCCTGAGGAATGTTGTCCATGGGGTCACGATAGGACTTCACGACTAACAACAATAATTGCCAAATGACTATTCATTCTTGATATATGTCATAAAGGGAAGCTATTATGTCTATGAAATGAATCAATACACAAAAATGTGTATACTGTTCACCTGTTGCCTCTGCCTTTTTTCCTGTTTCCTCTTGTAATACTTGATTGAGTTGGTGGTCCTCATCTTACAACTGTAATTGAGCCCAGAATTATGGTTACAAGTCATGGAAGTTATTAAGTGGGTCTTTATAATCTTTTTTTGTAGTTATTGTTATGCAAATACTGTGGTCATTAAGTGACCCATTTTCTTCAATGGGCTTTTTTTTTTTTTGCTGGAAACCAGAAGTTAATGCTGGAAATTGGCAAAAAAAATGCTAAAATTTTTGGTCATGTGACTGAAGGACACTGCAAAGAGTCACAAAGGGTAACTGTTTGTGAAGTGCCCAAAATATGATCATGTGACTGACCATGGGGTTGTGTGTGTGGCCAACAGAACTTTGGAACAGGGTTGGAGAGATCTGGAGAGATCTGTTATAACTTCATTCAACCAGTTCCATTTTAGACTTCAATAGAGAGGTCAGACAAAGCTACATTTGTTTTAATATGGTTTGAAT